GCTGCTCCCAGCCTCAGCTTTCGTGCTTACCAGTGAGGACTATTTTCTGATAGAGGAGTTGCCCAAGCTCCCCTATCAGGCCATCTCAAAGTTGCAGATCTCACACACATCAGTGGGTGATTGGCCTAGTCTGAGTTGGTTTGTTTCCCGTCCCAGCATTCACTGGCAGGTATAGTGGCTTTGCCCAAGCGGCCCACATCCATTCTGGCTCTTATGTGATTCAGCGAGTGCCGAGGCCTAGCCCAGCCTGCCCTACATTTAACTACTCTGGCTTTCCCAAGTGCCAGTGCGTGCTGGAGCCTAGCCCAGTCTGGCACACCTGCAGACCCAGCCCACACACATACAGAGGGATGTTATAGCCCTGTCCAGCCCAGTTCGTGGTGCTCATTTTGACTTTTGGGTTCACCAGTGGGAACTACAACCCTGCAAGGGTGTATCCTCAGCTCCCTAAGGCCTTTCTCAGTCACAAATCTTGAGTGTGCTGGTGTTATTTGACCCAGCCTGGCATGGCCCATCCCCTGTATTGGTCTTTGTTGTTAGATGCTGAAGCCTGGCTTGGCCTAGCTCACCCCAGTCCCAGCTCTTGTTGTTGGGTATTGGGAGCCTGTTTAACGTCCAGTCTGCCCTCATCCCCAGCTCTCATGTGAACAGGCAGATGCAGGAGAATAGCCCTGCATGGCTGGCACCCTGTCCTGGTTCTCCTGCATGCTGGGGTGTGCTGCTATGGCTTGAATTGGTCTTACCCTGTCCTCTCCTTGAGCCAGCCCACACACCTGCTGACAAGTGGAGCAGCCCTACCTGTCTGGCTCACACCTAGCCTAGTAGTTTCCCATGTCCCTCACCAAGTCCTCTTTCATTCCCTATCTCGCTTGTCAGCAGGTGCTAGGACCCTGCTCAACATAGGCCACTCTTCCCCCACCCGCACTCTGTGTTGTGATTACTGGTGGATACTGTGTGTCTGACTGCTGCCACCTGCTCCACACCCAGTTCTTGGGTGCGGCTGGGGTGCTGGTGCTTGAGTCAAACTGGCCTACTTGGAACCTCAGTTCCCGTGCATGTTGGCGAGTTCTGTAGTCATGCCTAGTTTGAACTGTCACCACCCCTAGCTTTTGCACAGACCAGTGGGTATTGCAGTCCCACAGGGATGAGTCCACAAACTCACAGAATTTGCTCCTAGACGCAGTTCTCTTACATGCCAGTTACTGTCATGGCCCAGCCATATTGGCTAACCTCCTTCTGGCCCTGACACTGGCGGGTACTGTGGCCTAGTTCTGCCATGCAGACCCCCAGCAGGCCCCCCAGCCCTAGCTTCCATGTGTGCTGTTGGGCTGTGAATGATGCCAACTAGCCAGGTCTCCCACATGGACAGGTGTCCTGTTCTGACCCAGACATGTTCTCCAGCTTCTCCCACTTCAAACTACCTGGTCTCAGTCCGCTTGTTTACCTGCAATTGCAGTGGCCCAGTCCGTGAAGTCATCCCACCCACACATCCCCAAGTCCCCTTCCTGCGGCAGTTCACCACCATTACATCCCTGATCAGGTGGGTGTGAGCTCCAGGCATGGTCTTCTGGAGGTGTGGCCTGAAGTGATTTTTTTTAAAGATTTTTATTTATTTATTTATTGCAACGTCACATATACAGAGAGGAGAGACAGAGAGGAAGATCTTGCATCCATTGATTCACTCCCCAAGTGGCCTCAACGGCCAGTGCTGCACTGATCTGAAGCCAGGAGCCAGGAGCTTCTTCCAGGGCTCCCTCGTGGGTGCAGGATCCCAAAGCTTTGGGGTGTCCTTGACTGCTTTCCTGGGCCACAGGCAGGGAGCTGGATGGGAAGCAGGGCTGCTGGGATTAGAACCAGCGCCCATATGGGATCCCGTGCAGTGCATGCAAAGCAAGGACTTTAGCTGCTAGGCCACCGTGCCAAGCCCCTGAAGTGATTCTTTTTTTTTTTTTAAGATTTATTTTTAGTATTTTTTAATTGGAAAGGCGGATATACAGAGAGGAGAGACAGAGAGGAAGATCTTGCATCCGTTGATTCACTCCCCAAGTGAGCGCAAAGGCTGATGCTATGCCGATCCGAAGCCAGGAGCCTCTTCTGGGTCTCCCACGTGGGTGCAGGGTCCCAAAGCTTTTGGGCCATCCTCGACTGCTTTCCTGGGCCACAGGCAGGGAGCTGGATGGGAAGCGGGGCTACCGGGATAGAACCGCTGCCCACATGGGATCCCGGGCATGCAAGGTGAGGACCTTAACCACTTGCGCCACCGCTCCGGGCCCACTGAATTGATTTTTAAACCTTAATGTGCATCAGAATTTCCTTGGAGGCTTGTTAACATTGCGATCCTATCCCCATAGTTTCCGGTTTGATTGATCTGGGGTGGACCTCAGTATTTACATTTCTAGCAAGTTACCTAGTTATAGCTGATGTTAACCATCTGGGGAGCACTAGGACCATTCTTAAACTTTGGCACAGTTGATGTTTTTACTTGGCTAGTTCTTCATTGTTGGGGCAGTCCCATGCATGGTGGTGTATTAACAGCATTCCTGGTCTTTTCACCAGCTGCCAGTGGTGTACTTTTCTGTAATAAAAATAAGAAACATCTCTAGGTATTGCCAATATCCCCCGGGCAAAAGAAAAGAAGTCTTTCCCATCTCCATTTAAAACTCCAGTGCTCCAGATTGCAGGGTGACTAGGGGAAATCCTTAGCTTCACATCTTTAATCTCTTTCCTTTTAGGCTAGTAATAACCTCCTTGGAAGCACTTTATGGAATCTTCCTGCTTTAGTAATAAGAGTCTGTCAGTAATCTGTTTACCTGGTAAAGTTGTTGAAGTGAAGAGAATTGTTCAGACTCTGTGTGTGTGTGTGTGTGTGTGTGTGTGTGTATTTTAGTCTTGTTTTTAGTATTTCAGTGTTCTAGCTGTCTATACCTTTTGTTCCCTTTTCAAGAGGGAAAGGAAACTTCCAGTCTTTTTGGTTGGATTTAAGAAAGGGCAGTTGCTTGCTTCGTGTTCAGTGAGGATGTGTCTGCTCTTACATCTGCAGTGGTTCCTGTAGTCCTCACTCTTCCCGCTGAGCTGCGGCTGGTTCCAATGCTGGACTTTCTGCAGAACAGCTTGAATTGGCTTTAGCTTTGTATATTGCCAGCTTAGGACTCAGTTCTAGGGCGCACTGCACTCATTGATCATACGTCCATCTGATTTCCAGCTTCAAAGTTTTGTTCCCATTGACACCTTTATGTTTAGTGGGGAGTTGAATGTAAGAATTAGATTTGTATGTTCAATCCAGTGTATCACCTTCAAAATCTAAAATAAGAACAAAGTGTCACATAATTACATGCTAAAAACTAGGTCATTTGTTTCAGAATTATTAGAAAATCAAACATGAAAAGAATGTGAGTTTAAGATTAAGGTGCATGCATATAGATAAGGTCTGTTTTATATGTGAAATAGATTTCTGGATATATTTGTCCTTGTGATCAAATCTGTATTTGAATCCTAACTTTGTATTTTATTAACTTTGACTTCAGAGCTGAAGGGACACAATCTTTAACCATTTTGTGCTTACAAAAAAGGATTAGAAGCCTTCTTTTTCAAGGAGTTCTGGGTTGGGATAGCTGGAATAGAGTAGTAGCTACCACTTATTCATGCTGACTGGGATGTGTGATTCTTATTTGTGGGCATCTTCTACCAGTTTCCTAGGTGCGTCAGAGAGCTGGATAAGAGTTGGAAAAGTTAGGATTCAATGGAGCCCAAGTGGGGTGCCAGCATGGTGGCTAGTGGTCTAACTTACAATGATCCTGACTTCAAAAGTGTTAAAATCCCAGACATACAGCTTGAGTATCACTGGTTACTCCAAAAGTCCAAAATGCTCTGGGATCTGAAATTTTTTGATATTAAGAAAGTTGGATTTTGTGTAATTTTGAATTTGGGATGTTGAGCTGATGAAGTCTGTAAACATCCTACGTCCAAAATTCTCCAAAATCTCAAGTACTTGCTGGTCTGTAACATTTCTGATAGGGGAACCTCAACTTGTCTTCAGTCTCTCTGTGTAATTGTAATATAAAGTGCCTGTGTATTTCTGGAATACCCCCTTGTGGTAGCTCATCATCTCTTAAGAACCACTGCTGAAAGGTATTGGGGGTTTAGTATATTCAAGAAGATGTGGTTCTTTTCTGAGTTTGTACTGGGGATCCTGAGGCAGTGTCTTGATTGAGATTCCTGTACAGCTCTGAGCTTTTCTACTTTGGACAGTTGAATGAACCTGAGCATACTGTGATTCTGATAAAGATTTGAGAAACAGAGATCTAACCTATTATCAGTATGTTCTGTAGTATTACCTTATTTTTTCTCATCTGATTTTGTAGGTTATTCTGGTCCCTGGAAAGCCTTTGCAGAAATTTTCCTGGCTATTTCCAAATGTTTCTTTAGTCTTTGCTTCTGGGAAGCTGTCTGTGACTGACTGCTGTTTTCAGTGCTTGGTGGCTTAGTTGAGTGACTCTCGCATTTGCTTGCTCACCTTCAAAGACAGGTCTTTGCTTTTCATCTTTGCTTCTATTGTATTGCTTATTGATGACTGATGAGTGAAAGAGGGAAAAATAGGATGATAGGTGAGAATATGAGGTTGGTTGTATATACAAGTTAGCCAACTACAAGGAAAATGGGCCTGAAGATGAAAGTCTGAGGACTAGGTTTTTGTGAACTTGGTGATTTATGGCTTGACTGGATTTGGACCAGTTGACAGAATAAGGATAAGGATATTGCAAAGCAGCAAATTGTTCTTAGCAAAGAATCAAATGTAGAACTTGTACCTGTAATAAGACTTTCTGTAAGAGGTGAAGTGGTTGTCATGTCTGTTTAACCAAGATACCATATGTAAATTATACACATTTATTTACTTAAATTGTTGTAAAATGTGATGGGGCCTTTTTGAGGTGCTTATAGAAATCAAACTGGATCATACTGTGAAAGCACTTGCAATAGATACCTATTTTTTTTTTTCTTAGTTCAAGGAAGAAATCTCCAAACGTTTCAAGTCACATACTGACCAACTTGTATTGATATTTGCTGGAAAAATTTTAAAAGATCAAGATACTTTGAGTCAACATGGAATTCATGATGGACTTACTGTTCACCTTGTAATCAAAACGCAAAACAGGTAAGATTTTAGAAGAGGTTAGCTTTAAAGCATAGAGAGGGTAGTACTTCGTTTAAAAATAGCTGCTGCTTGCAATGCTGGCATCCCATGTGGGTGCCAGTTCAAGACCTACTTGCTCTGCTTCTGATCCAGCTAATGTGCCAGGGAAAGCAACAAGCAGTGGCCCAAGTGCTTGGGTCCCTGTGTCCATGTGGGAGACCTGTAGCAGCCCCCTTTGGGGAGGGGACTGACGGATGGGGAATTTGTCACTCCCTCGCTGTGTCTTTCAAATAATTAAATGATGTTTTTTTTAATAGCCAGTTTGACTGTTGTCAGTTTTCCCTATTTTGAGTGTGTGTTACATTTATAGTTATATATTTAGTGTTTTTCTGTAACCATTTAACGTTTTAGAATGTTCATCAATGGTCATTGTATCTCATGATTTCACTTAGAGCATGAACAGACTGGGCCGGGCATGCTTTTTGCTACAGGGTGTTTTTGTTGTTTCTTTGAGAAAGAGGTGTATGACCCTTGTCCAGTTTTTCCATATAGCATGAAATTCTGACCTGTCAAAGAGCACTGGTTGTATATTTCTTAAAAGAATGCTGTCTTTTCTCCATTTTTTTTTCTTCCAGCCATGAGAACTCACTCTGAATGTTTTCATGCTAGTGTTCTCCGAGCAGCAAATTTTCTCCTATTCTTGATTGTGTGGATTTTTTGTACAAATAACCTTTTCAGTTTGAATTAATGGTGTGATTATTCTGAAGACGCTTTGTGTTTTAATTCAGCTCCGTTGAAGTCGTAAACAGCAAGTGTCCTAAGTAGTTGCATTGATGCTTGACTGTCAGCAGTAGTAAGGGTTTCAGAGATGTTAATGTGAAATACTGAGTTCCTTAGCAGCAGTGAAAATAATAGTGCGGTTCAGAAATCGTTAGTATCACATAGAAGGGTTTCCTCATTTTTTCTTCCATTTAAAGTTAAGTGGTGATAAGTTATTCTACTCATTTTCTTAAGACTCCATTTGAAGAAGAGTATTTATTTTTAATTTGAAAGTCAGTAGGGAGGGAGAGACACAAATCTTCCATCCCTGGATTCACTCCTCAGATGGCTGCAGCAGTGAACACTGGGCTAGGCTGATGCCGGGAGCTTCCTCTTGGTCTTCCCACGGGTGTAGGGGCCAAACATCTGGGCCTTCTTGTACTTTTCCTAGGCCATCAGCAAGGAGCTCAGCCACATCAGAGCATCTGCGATAAAGACAGGCACCAGTGTTCCAATGATACTAGTTCCTAACTCCAAGAACTGGAAAACGAATATTTTTTTTTTAATACTCAGGATAGTAGGTGTGATTCATCATTGGTTTTCTAGTGTTTGGTGACCTGTCCTATACAATTAGCAAGACTGAGAACAATGAAATGTTTATATACATAATCAGAGGAGAGACAGTTGTATATTTTAGAGTTTGTAAGATGTTAACTGCGCTTGTTTCTGATGCTTAATTATCTCCTGGTATTTAAGATAATTTGAGTTAATCTGAGAGCGTAGTATTGGGATTTCAGAACTTCTTTTAAAGTAATTAGTTCTATTGCTTACACTGTGATGTAATTGTTTCCTCTAGGCCTCAGGATCATTCAGCTCAACAGACGAACACCACTGGAAGCAATGTCACCACGTCCTCGGCTCCTAATACCAACTCCTCCTCTGGTTCTGCTACTAGCAGCCCTTTTGGTTTAGGTGAGTACCTTTGCTTCATTTTTATAGGGATGATTAAAACCATCATTTCCCTCCCAGGATAGTTTAGATAAAGTAACATAATAAAACCATCAGCCGTACTAACAATAATACATAAAATCTTTTGTAGTTGACTTCTACCATTACCACTAATTAGGAAGTACTTGAATATTGTTGTGCTTGGATTTAATAAGTGATCGTAACAGCTCTTTTTAAAATTTAATTTTTGATATTTCAGATTAAATATGTTTATTTTTTTTTAAGATTTATTTATTTTTATTGGAAAGGCACATTTACTGAGAAGAGAGTCAGAGAGAAAGAGATTTTGTCTGTTCATTCACTCCCCAAATGGGCACAATGGCCAGAGCTGAGCTAATTCGAAACCAGGAGCCAGCAGCTTCTGGGTCTTCTACATGGGTGCAGGGTCCCAAGGCCTTGGGCTGTCCTCCACTGTTTTCTGAGGCAACAAACAGGGAGCTGGATGGGAAGTGGAACAGCCAAGACATGAGCTGGCACCCATATGGGATCCTGGCAGTCTTGTAGGAAGAGGATTAGCCTGTTGAACTGGCCCCTGATGCATTTCTAAGACTACAGTGCCATTCTTCTTCGCATGTTTCCTTCTTATCCCCTCACTTTGACTTATACCAAAGTAAAAAGCTTAGTACTTGGGCCCGGAGCGGTGGCGCAAGTGGTTAAGGTCCTCACCTTGCATGCCCGGGATCCCATATGGGCGCCGGTTCTAATCCCGGCAGCCCCGCTTCCCTTCCAGCTCCCTGCCTGTGGCCCGGGAAAGCAGTCAAGGACTGCCCAAAAGCTTTAGGACCCTGCACCTGCGTGGGAGACCCAGAAGAGGCTCCTGGCTTCAGATCGGCATAGCATCAGCTGTTGCGCTCACTTGGGGAGTGAATCATCGAATGGAAGATCTTCCTCTCTGTCTCTCCTCTCTGTATATCCGCCTTTCCAATTAAAAAAAATAATAATAATAAAAATAAATCTTTAAAAAAAAAGCTTAGTACTTAACTGAATAAGAAATTTAAGAAGTAAAAAGCACAGGGATATTAGTTTAGTGAGAAAATGTACCCCTCTCAGTTGAGGTAGGAAATTTTAGATGACAGTTAACGTAAAATCTGCAGAGATCAGGATGAAATTGTTCAGGGTTCAGACTGATGAATTACATTAGTAAGGTTAGTCTCTTCCCTTTTTCTCATTTCGTAGGTGACAACACTGAAGTCTGAAGAAGTTTTTAGTTAATATGAGGCCATACAGTCCTCTCTAGTCTCTGTATCATCCCTGTTTTTGTCTTGCTGGTTTTTTCCATCAGCTAGTCCATTTGTTGTTTATAATCAGGTTTCCTTTTTGATAGCTATTTTGATTAAGGTCTTTCCCATATGTAAAAGCCAGAGAATCTCCTTATCACTTGTTCTTTTGCCTTCCTTCTTTGATAATACCTTTATAAAAGGCATTTTGTGTTTTGTGCTTCCCTTTCATTGAGTTCACCACATTCTATTTTTTGTCCTCATTTCACTAGAAATTTCCTTGAGAAGATTGCCACTGACTTTTTTTTAAAGATTTATTTAGAAAGAGATATAGATCCAGAGAGTTGGGAGAGATGGAGATGGAGAGAGAGAGATCTTAGATCTTCTAAGTGCTGATTCACTCACTAAATGGCCACCTCTGCCAGAACTAGTGGCCTGAAGCCAAGGAGCCCGGAGCCTCTTCTGGGTCTCCCATGTGGGTACCAGGGCCTTAGGCCTTGGGCTGTCCTCGACTACTTTCACAGGAACCAGGATTGAAAGTGAAGTGACCAAGATATGAACTGGCACTCGTGGATGCTGGCACTGCAGGCAGAAGATTAGCATACTACTCAATGGCATTGGCCCCTCCAGTAACTTCTTAGTTTGCAGAATTTAGTGGACACTATTTTTTTTTAAGTATTATCCATTTCTCTTAGAATCATATATAGAGAGATGAAGAGATAGAAAAATCTTCTCTCTGTTGGTATATTCTGTAGATGGTTGCAATGGTCATTGCTGGGTCAGGTGAAACCAGCAGGTGCTAGGAGCTTTATCTGGGTCTCCCATGTGGGTGGCAGAGCCCTGAACACAAGGGCCATCTTCTGTTGCTTTCCCCAGGCCATTAGAGGGGAGCTGGGTTAGAAATGGAGTAGCTCGGATTTGAACCCTGGTGCCTGCATGGCATGCTGGTATCACTGCTAGTGACCTTAGCCATCAAGCCACAACTCTGGGCCCTGATTTGTTTTTTAAACACTAAATTTACTCACAGTCATTATTCTTCATCCATTCCCTCCAGTAAACTAGTGAGTCACTGTCTATAGATTTGCCAATACGGGCTATTTTGTAATGATTTCTTTCATTATTAGCTGCTTTCACTTAGCATAATAATTTGAAAGCTTGTTCTTGTTGTAGCTTGAATCAGTGTTTTGTTCTATTTTGTTATCACGAGTTTATAACTTTCTGTGACTATTTATTAGTTGATAGACATTTGGGATGTTTCCGTTTGGCTACTCTGAACAATATTGTTGTGAACATTTTGTGTAAATTTGTTTTTTGTTCCTTTAGCTGTGTGCCTAAATGAAATTGCTGAGTTAAGTGTGAATGCTGTTTATTGTTTAAGTTTATTTATACTCATAATTTAAAATTTTAAATATTTTAGCACCTAAAATTATACATATTTAAATGTTATGATTGCAAGTATACATTGTGCAGTGTTCATTTAAGTGTTCATCCAGAATTCTGTTTTGTAATTTTCTTGATAAATATGAAAGTACATTAGTATTATAGCTACCCTAATGTGCACTCTTTAGATTTTTGTCATGATGTTTATAAATTTCTTCAAGTTCTCTTCCTGTAACCCTGATACTCTTTTTTTCCCTTGCTTTTCTCACTAGTTTTTTCTATCTCACATGGAAGTTTCCTCTTTTGTTTCTTGTATTGCTATTCCTCGAAGTTATGCTTGACCTGTCTTCCTTTATTTCCCACTATTCTTGGATGATGTTATCCTATTATTTTTGGTGACTTAAATCTATGCTTCGGGCCCGGCACAATGGTCTTAGTGGCTAAAGTCCTCGCCTTGAATGTGCCAGGATCCCGTATGGGCGCTGGTTCTTGTCCCAGCAGCTCCACTTCCCTTCCAGCTCCCTGCCTTGTGGCCTGGGAAAGCAGTCGAGGATGGCCCAAAACCTTGGGAGCCTGCACCCACATGGGAGACCTGGAGGAAGCTCCTGGCTCCTGCCTTCGGATCAATGCTGTACTGGACGTTGCAGTTACTTGGGTAGTGACTCATTGGATGGAAGATCTTCCTCTCTGTCTCTTCTCCTCTGTGTATATCTGACTTTGTAATAAAAATAAATAAATCTTAAAAAAAAATCAATACTTCAACCCATATCACTTGTGAATATCATGCCTTGTAGTCTTTGCTATTATCTCATGTCCTCTAGTTACTTTAGCTCATCAATCCTCAGAGACAAAACCAAAAAGCCAAAAAATAAGTATAAAAATTAATATCTCACTTCCCAGGTCACCACTTTCTGTGTCAAAGTCTCTCTGTTGGGAACTTCTTTGCTCCATCCCATGTAGTTATTCTATGTTGTTGCTTCTTTGATACAAATCTTCAACAGCTTTCATGTAAAGCATTTGCTCTGGTTCTTTCCCATTGTGCTATTGTTAAAATAAAAACGTCTTCCGCGATTGTTTTATGATTTGGTTCCTGTCGACCTCTGTATCAATCTTTGTTTTAACTTATTTTTTTGGAAGACTGGTATGCACTGGTTCACAGGAGCTGGGAACTCAGCCTTAGTTTTCTGTGTGGGCTGGAACCACTTGAACCATCACCTTGGATATGCATTTGGAGCAAACTGGAATGGGGATTGCAGCTTGAACTCACCTCCTCATCCCACCTCTCCCAGACACTAATTCAGGATGTGAACATTACCAGGAAGCTTTTTTTTTTTTAATTTGTTTGGTTTGAAAAGCAGAGATAACAGAGCAAAAAGGAGAGACATCTTGTAGTTGTCAGACCTGCAACACTTTGGGGAGAAGTGACACTCACTTTGTCTATCAGTTCAGTGGAGAGAGCGCCACCCACTCAGCAGTTATCTGCAGTGAATAGGCAAGGGGCCAAAAACATAATCTTACAGTTTGGCAAGAGCTCAGTTAAGCTCTCCCCTCTGTCTCCCTAAATTTGCAGTGGCAGGAAGCTGGAGTGAGGATCTGAAGGAAGGCAGGGATTGAATCAAGGCACTTTGATATAGGATGTGAGCATCTTAACCACTGAACTAAATGTAAACTCCCTAAATTGACTAGCAGTGTTATTCTCCACCTTCCACCTAGGTAATGTAGTAAACCAGTGATTCACTTCCTTTCAATGAATTTGCCCATCCACGTGATTTCTGTCCTTGGATGCTGTCCATTTGAGAAACAAGGCAGGAGAGACAGAGTTTGTATTTGCTTTTCAAGAACTAAGCTGAAACTGGGCTGCATTGAAGCTAGAAACTAGCATCTTGATCTAGGTATCTCATGTGAGTGGCAGGAGCCCAATCACTCTGAGTCATTATTGCTGCCCACTGGGGTGTCAGTAACAGAAAGGAATCAGAAGCTATAGCCTGTTACTGAACCCAAATGTCCAGACATGCAGCATGGGTATCTCTTAACTGGTATCTTAACTTTTAAACCAAATTATGCCTGCACACATGGACATGGAAACAATCCAGATGTGCATCCAAAGAAGAGTGGTTAAAGAAACTGTGGTACATCTACTCCATGGAATATTATTCAGCTATTAAAAAGAATGAAATTATTATTTACAACTAGGTGGTCCCAATTGAGACCGTTATGCTCAGTGAAATGAGTCAATCACAAAGGAATAAATACCATCTGTTCTCTCTTATATAAGGAAACCAGCATGGAAAGTGTAACGTCAATAATTCGATCCAAACTGTTTTTTGTGGGTTTTTATTTTTAAATTTGAACTATCCTCTGCGCTGGCCCTCATGCATTGTTCTTGCAGTCGCCTGGCCATAATTGATTGCATAGACCCATCCATGTTCCAAAGGCTGCGTGTAAAATATTTAAGGATAACTGCTCTCTGCTAGTTACACTGAACTTTATGATTTCACCGATGTGCCACTGTGTTTATTTTTGTGGTAGTGTTCATCATGTGTAATTTTAAGCCTCTACATTCGCCTGCTTTTCTTTATCAATTTGCTGATGTTGCTCTAAGCTCACTGTCTTGTCTTTGGAAGTAGCCATTGTATTCAGGTCCCGTATTATAATGTCCTGTGAATGTCTCTGGTGAATACTTACATCTGTGTAGGGTTTCCCCCTTGTTGTCTTTTCCCCACTAGATTGAACATTGTTAAGTGTGTGAATCATATTTCAACCTGTTGCACAAGTCCTGGATATAAATAGAAAGTGACCAGGCCCAATGTGGTAGCCTTGGCCAAAGTCCTCGCCTTGAACTCACTGGGATCCCATAAGGGTACTGGTTCTAATCCTGGCAGCTCTACTTCCCATCCAGCTCCCTGCTTGTGGCCTGGGAAAGCAGTCGAGGACGGCCCAAAGCCTTGGGCTCCTGGCTTTGGATTGGCTCAGCTTCAGCCATTGTAGCCACTTGGATAGTAAATCAGTGGATGGAAGATCATTTCTGTCTCTCCTCCTCTCTCTGTATCTCATTTTCCAATAAAAATTTTTTAAAAAATTTAAAAAGGACTGCTATTTAAAAAAAAAAGAAGAAGAAGAAAGTAAGTGACCAGTATGTGAAGAAAGTCACCAGTATGTGAGGAGTGAAAGCATTTGGCTAGCTTTATAAATTTTTTTTTCTTTTAATTTTGTTTTAATGGATATCAAAATTCTGTGACAGATTTTTGGTTAAGTTTTTTGCTTTAAAGTCTTTATTTTAACAACTAAAACTTACACTTGCCCCTCTGTTTCCACAAAATGTTTTCCTTTCTACTTCTAACACTTTGTGATGCATTGATATATTTAACCAGACTTTTACTATTAGACTCACATGAAAATTGAGAAAGTTGTAGGAATAGTGCTGATTTGGCCTTCTGAGCTTTCAGGCAGACATGGTGAGCTTGCCAGCTCCAGCAGCCTTTTTGTCCAAACCTTTGGTCACCCATACCAGCTATCTGTGTAAATGTTGCAGACTGCAAAGTTACCTAGAGGAAGATCGTTCACATGGATTTTCTAAGAACTGTATTAATGATGGTAATTTCATCAGTTTTAGGGATACAGGGCCATCTCCAGCTTCTTACCAAAATGATTATTAATCTTTTCCTTCAACTCAGTAAGGTTACAGCAGTGGATGTGACCAGCAAATGATTCGATATGGGTGGTTTAGGATAATTATACAAACAGTGAAGCCAGCTGCTTTTGTTGGTGTGTCATTTTCTGTGTTAATTGCAACATTACCACTGTGGACATTTTTGCTAGACATGTTCTTGACATTGAAGCCAAATTGTCCCCAGCGAGAGCTTCGCTCAAAACTTCAAGGTACATTTCAGTAGATTTAAGTTGTGACATTGAATGGAAAAGAGTTACCCCCGCACCAGGTTTGAGGACAGCTGTGTCCACTCAAACCTACAGGGTTAGTACCCAAACCACCAATTTTCTGCACATATGTAGAGACAGATGCCTGGACTTCTTAGTTGATGAAGTTGATGGAAGGATGCAATTTAGGTCTTGAAGTAGTGTGGTTCTGTTGGCATTGCCACCTTTGTGGATGACTGTATTTGAGCCAGCGCATATTAGTACTTGGAACTAACATATTACCACCACCATTCCAACCAGAAGTATGTACGTTGGTGTGAGGGCTGTAGACAGTTGTCTTTTTACTTTTGTTTTTGTTTTTTTTTTTTAAGATTTATTTTTTATTTTTATTGGAAAGGCAGATATACAGAGAGGAGAGACAGAGAGGAAGATCTTCCGTCCGATGATTCGCTCCCCAAGTGAGCGCAACGGGGCTGATACTATGCCGATCCAAAGCCAGGAGACTCTTCTGGATATCCCACGTGGGTGCAGGGTCCCAAAGTTTTGGGCTGTCCTCGACTGCTTTCCCAGGCCACAGGCAGGGAGCTGGAAGGGAAGCGGGGCTGCCGGGATTAGAACCGGCGCCCATATGGGATCCCGGGGTGTGCAAGGTGAGGACCTTAACCACTGCGCCACTGCGCCGGGCCCTTTTTTTCTGTTTTTTTTTTTAGATTTATTTTTTATTTTTATTGGAAAGGCAGATATACAGAGAGGAGAGACAAAGAGGAAGTACTTTTGTTTTTTAAGGTTTATTTATTTGAAAGGCAGAGTTAACAGAATGTGAGAGAAAACCTCTATCCAATGTTTGTTCCCTAAATGGACACAATACCCAGGCTGTGCCAGGCTGAAGCCGGGAGCTTCATCTAGGTCTCCCAATGTGAGTGCAGGTGACCAAGGTATTGGGCCATCTTTTACTGCTTTCCCAGGCACATTAGCGGAGAGCTTGATTGGAAGTAGGGCAACAAGAACTTAAACTGGTGCCATTTGAAAGCCAACATTGCAGGTGACAGCTTAACTTGTTATTCTCTAGTGCCAGTGCTGTCAGTTTTCTTAGTGTAGATGCTGACTTCCTTATTGATTTCCTTGTGTTTGTACTGGCTGTAATGGAATCTGTTTTGGTAACACCAACAATTAGTTTTCTTTTATTCCCAATGTGTAAGTTAGAAGGACATGCTCGGAGATCTGCCCATTCGTGGAGAAATAGCTTCAAATTCAGCAGCACCAGCAGCAGGATTTAGGACAGCATAGTCAGCCTCAGATGTACCCAGATGATTGGGTTCCTGCAGCACATGAGGAAAATCTGTACTGAGTGCCAACTCCAGGCTTTGCCCTTCACTCTTCCCTTCTTGGGCATTTGAAGAATGAGTCAGTGGGTGGGAACTTACTTTCTCAAATTTAATGACCAACTTTGTTATCATAGTAGTTTACAAAGCTCAGAATACATTTATCTGTTTATTGGAAAGGATGCAATTGAGAAACAGACAAATGCTTTGAAGGCATAAATAGAGCAAGATGTGTGGAAGCTGGTGAGTGGGTACATAACTTCTAAGTTCTCCTAACCCCTGGACATGTTCCTCCTAGAAGCTCTCTGTATGTGTCTTTTCAGGAGTTTGCAACCTCCTCCTTTGCCATTCCTGGAGTTCCCTGGGTGGAGCTGAAGATTTCAATCGTTTTGTCTGTAGTGTTTCTGATGACCATTTCTATCCTGAGGCTCTCTTGGGGCTCTGCCCTCAGTCACTTCAATAGCAGAGTGATCAAAAGGGCCTGTAACAAGCGCTTCTCATTCAGGAAATTTCAGGGGCTTTAGGAACTCTCAGGAACCATGGAAAAAGACTATATATTTTTTGTGTTGGACCACATAGGAACATGTGTTTAATTGGTTTCATTATCAAAGAGTACATGTTTTACTAATTTTAATTACAAAAATTTATGTATTTGTAAGAATTCTGTTTACGATTTAAAATGGTTTCTTGTATTGTTAAGCAGACACTAGTTTTGCATCTTTTACTTTTCATAGCAGTTGAAAATTTTTGACTTTGATTTATGTGTTTTTTCCCCCTGCCTTTTCTTAGGTGGCCTCGGAGGACTTGCAGGTCTGAGTAGTTTAGGTTTGAATACTACCAACTTCTCTGAACTCCAGAGTCAGATGCAGCGACAACTTTTGTCCAACCCAGAAATGATGGTCCAGATCATGGAGAATCCCTTCGTCCAGAGCATGCTTTCTAATCCTGACCTGATGAGGCAGTTAATTATGGCCAATCCACAGATGCAGCAGTTGATACAGAGAAATCCAGAAATTAGTCATATGCTGAATAATCCAGATATCATGAGACAAGTATGTGAGAAGTTATTTTAGTTCATTTAGCTAAGAACTTGCTGACTTGCTTCTTAGTGCTGACCTGTGTTGCTGTTAGGTTGTATCCTTGTCAGTGTTAAGGAAAATAGAATAAAACAGTGATGTGGACTATAGAACTTAAGATTTTCTGCTTCATTTTTGTGAGTAGTTTATTTTGACTGTTTAGAAAACAAAAAGTCCAGTTCTGGAACTATATGATTCTCTTACAACAGGATGCTTTTGTTGCTGTGGGTTGTTTGCCACTGGACAGTCGTATACCAGAGATGACAGCTGATGCAAGTTGACAAGTTTATTTCAAGAAGCTAGCATTCTTGGGAGAATGTGGACTTTTTCAGTCCCAGACAGGTTCCTTCCAGATTGCAAAGGATCAGGAAGACTTTAGAGGAGAAAGGCTATTTGGGGGAGGATAATGGAAGATAATGATACCAGTTAGTTGAGGTTTCTGTGGCATGAAGCTTGGCTTTTTGTGGGTGGCAGTTGACATTTCTGCCCTATCTGAGGTCTATGATTGTGATCATTTTCTTGTAGTTAGCTAGCTCCTGAAACTCTTAGGTAAGAATAATTCATTTGTTGAACAGATATTCTGATTACAGGATTAGTAGTTTATTTTTGCCAGTCAAAATGTGAAAAGGAAAGGGGAATATGTGTTTTATGATTATACTGTTTACTTAAAAAATTATTACTGTTATGAAAGAGTTGTTTACTTGAAAGAATATCATGGAGAGATCGTCCATCTGCTGATTCACTCTAAATAAAGAGCTAGGAGGTCCATCAAGATGCTCTGCATGGCGGTGACAAGGGCCGAAGTGCGAGTTATGCTGCTTTTTGGTGCATTAGCAAAAAACGGTGGCAGAAGCATCAAGTTAGGACTGTAACCAACACTCTAATGGGATGTTGACGTTGGAAGAGGCCACTGAATGATAGAGCCAGCTTCTCTGCCTCACCCCTTTTTAAATTTATTCTGTTTATTTTCAACTACTTGAAAGGCAGAATGATGGAGAGAAATTTTGCATACTTATCTGCAATAAGTAGGACTGAGCCAGCTGAAGCCAAAAGGCTAGAACTCTTAGCCAAATCCCCTATACAGGTGGGAGGGCTTCATGCAGTTAACCCAGCATATTTTGCTTCCCAAGGAAACATTATGAAGAAGTGGGTTTGGAAATGGAGAAGCTTGGGTTGGAACTGGCCGTCTGATAAGTGATATCTGCATCTTAAGTGCTGACTTAATCCACTGAGTTACAAAGGCTAACCCTGCTACTTCATTTCTTTTTAATTAAAAAAAAATTTTTTTTTTAATATCTATTTGTAACAGAATGAGAGAGAAAAAAAGAGTGAGAGGGTGTGCTGGTTCACTTTGCAAATACCTATAACGGGTGGCTGGGTCAAGTCCAAATCCAGGAGTGTTGTACTCCATCCAGCTTTTTCACTTGGGCAGCAGGGACCAGAGTGTGTACTCAGTCCATCATCCCCTGCCTTTCATGGTGAATTAGGAGATTGCCGGGTCAGAGGTGGAGTGGCCTGGACTCCAACATCGCTCTAATACAGCTATAGAGATCATAAGTGAAACTTACTGCTGTGCTACAAAGTTCACCTCTTGGTGGTATTACCTGAATGCCAATTTGCTTTTTGAGGTGACATCCACCAGGAATTATTTTAAGTGATTTTCTGATTATGTTTTAAAGATAAGATTACAAGAAATTTGGCTGAAATAATTGGCCTTTCTTTGTGATTCTAAACTTAGATGAAACGTTTCCTTATGAGCTAAGCAAAGGAGGTTAGCCTTACAGGTAACAAGGCTGAAGAAAGGCAAAAGGTTGAAGAAACAAGTCGTTTTGTTACAGAAACTGGATTGGTTGTTCCTGTGTTAACCTCTTAGTGGGATTGAAATGGCTTTGTTATTGTGCTCAGGTTGGTTAGAATCTCAGATTTTTTGTTTGTGTTTAACCTTTTCCATGCACCATTTTGATTATATGGTATTTAACAACGGGACACCATTCTGCTTTGATTAGGTTTGCTGGGACTGTGTATAAGAAACTAGAGCAAAACAGTGGCCTCCCATAAACTTCATATAACATTAATCAGTAGTTGAATAACTTAGAGGTATATTTTAACATCCTTTTTCCCTTGTTTTTATGGAAATATTTTTCATAGACACTGGAACTTGCCAGGAATCCAGCAATGATGCAGGAAATGATGAGAAACCAAGATCGAGCCTTGAGCAACTTAGAAAGTATCCCAGGGGGTTACAATGCCTTACGTCGCATGTACACAGATATTCAGGAACCCATGCTGAGCGCTGCACAGGAACAGGTGAACCACTGTCTTCAAGTCTCAGGAGGAGCTCTTGTTGCAACAGATATGTGTGTGATTGAGGAGTGTGTATATGGGATGTGATTTTCACTGAACAAAAAGGAATTGCGGATCTATTTTTAAAATATTCTTTTAAAATAAATTTTGTATCTTCTTTTACAGTTTGGTGGTAATCCGTTTGCCTCTTTAGTGAGCAATACATCTTCAAGTGAAGGTAGTCAGCCTTCTCGTACAGAAAATAGAGATCCATTACCGAATCCCTGGGCTCCACAGACTTCCCAGAATTCATCAACTTCGAGTGGCACCACCAGCACTGTGGGTGGCACTGCCAGTAGTGCTGCCGGTGGCACTGCTGGGCAGAATACTTCTGTACCTGGAGTAGGAGGTATGCCTACAGCAACTCATTATTGTCTTTGTTGTGCAAATACTTTGTTATGTGAATACTGTTTGGTGAATACTCCTTGTAGACTTACCTTTTCATGTTATAAGTTTTGTTTTTCACTTTTGGTTCTTTTGCCTTAATGAAAGGATTGTTAAAAATTGTATATATGTGTAGGGCAAAACATGCTTGGATACATGTGTAAATCAGGAATGATTAAATTACTGTTAGCATCTCTGTTGCCTCATATACTTAGCCAATTTTTGTGTGATGAGAAACTTAAAATCTGCTCTCTAGTAGTTTTCAAGTATATAGCACTTCATTCCCCAGAATGTATTCATGGAGGGTTTTCTGTTTGAGAATCAGAGAGAGAGCCTGCTGTCATCTGGTGGTTCACTCCACAGATGCCTACAGTGGCTGGGTCTGGGCTGGATTGGTCTGAAGTTAGGAGTTAGAAGTAAATCCAGGACTCCCATGTGAGTGACTGGGACCCAACTACTTTAGCAGTCAATTACCAACTGCCTCCTAGAATTCTGTGCTGTCAAGAAGATAGAATTGGGCCGAGCACGGTAGCCTAGCGGCTGAAGTCCTCCCCTTGCACATGCTGGGATCTCATATGGGCACCAGTTCATATCCCAGTGGCCCCGCATCCCATCAAGCTCCCTGCTTGTGGCCTGGGAAAGCAGTCGAGGATGGCCCAAAGCCTTGGGACCCTGCACCCATGTGGGAGACCTGGAAGAAGGTCCTGGCTCCTGGCTTCAGATCAGTGTAGCTCCAGCCGTTGTGGTCACTTGGAATGTGAATCAGTGGACAGAAGATCTTCCTCTCTACTTCTCCTCCTCCCTGTATATCTGACTTTCCAATATAAATAAATCTTTAAAAAAAAGAGAGAAAAGAAGGAATTGGGAGCCAGAGCTTGGAATTGAGCCCACTTTACAGTGTGGAATGTGGGCGTCTTAATTGACATTTTCCTGGCTAGACCAAGTGCCTGTCTTGTGGGAAGACGCACAAAAAAAATGATGAAAATTTCTAAAGTAATACAGGGATTTTTCTGGTTACCACTTAAAGAAAATATTGGAAAAAGATGAATAAAGAAACCTTAGGAGATCTTTCAAGTGACCTGAGGTGTCTAAAAATTACAGTTGAGGATGTGGCCAAGATACAGGAAGTAGGAAAACAAGCCAGCTATCCATTTGACAAGGAAGTAGGAAAAAATGAGTGGTAATTATCCTTACTAGACCCCCTGTGTTATCTACTTTATGTAAAGTAAGGTGCAGATTTTAGATGGACATTTCTGTGCTGGTGTTGTGGCATAACTGGGTGATTCTCCACCTGTGGCATTGGCATTCCATATGGGTCCCTGCTTGTTTGCCGGCTACTCTACTCTTGTTCCAGCTCAATGCTAATGGCCTGGGACAACAGTGGAGTCCTTGTTTTCCTAGACCTGTGTGGTAGACCCAGAAGCTCTGGCTCCCAGCTTGAACTGGCCTAGCTCTGACTGTAATGGCCATTTGGGGAATTAACCAACGGATAGAAGATTTTCTCTCTCTCTCTCTCTTCTCTGAAACTCTTTGAAGTAAATAAATCTTTTATTTTTTAATTCTGGTGAATTTAAATCTGTTTGCCACTGTAATTAATACATGAAACATTCCCAACATTCAGTAAATTGTTCTGTACTTCTTTCTCATTCTTTTGCCACATGGGCAGCCATGAATCTTGGCCAGTGTACGTTAGTTTTTCTGATTTGGAATTCATATAATTGTTTTATATAGTCTTCTTTTTATCTTTTGCTGAGTTTTGTTGAAACTCATCCGGGTTGTGTATGGCTGTAGCTTGTTTATTAGAACTGAAAAGTTGTCATTTCTATGGGAGTCATTACAAACCATCACAGTATGTGTGGCATTTTGTGTCTTGCATTTCACTGTTTGGTAGAGATCAAGAACCATCAGATTTGTGCGGAACAATCTTGAGATTCCAAAATGGAACAGAGCTAGTATGTGGTAGAATTTTGACAGTTGTCAAAGTAGGTTATGTTGTGGCATATGGGTGAGTAAGAATGAGGGTGCCATGTAGTAAGTAGGGCTATAGGATGGCCACCATTTAAGGGTCTAGGTCGATGTCCATATTTATCTGGGAAGCAGTACTTTTCTTGACACCTCTATCAGTTAATTGTTGTTGTTCTTGTTTTTAATAAATATGTTTGCATTGTGCTTTCTTGAGTTTTGCTTACTGACTTCTGAATTGGTTTGATTGTCTCTTTTTTTAAGATCTATTGATTTGAATGAGTGAGAGAAGGAGATGGAGAAAGAGCACAAGTGTGTGCACTTTTATCTGCTGATTAACTCCCCAATGACCACGATGGCTGGAACTGGGCCAGGCCAAAGCCAGGAGGCAGGAGCTTTCTCTGGCTCTCCCGCATGAGTACAGAACCCAGGCACTTGGACCATCTTTCTTTGCTTTCCTCAGGCCATCAGCATGGGTCTGAGTCAGAACTAAAGCAGCCAGGGCTCTAATCAGCACCCATGTGGGATGGTGGTATCACAGGTGGCAGCTTTATTTGCTGTGCCACAAAACCAGCCCCAATTATGTCCATTTTTTAAGCCATTTGTTTCTCAGGGCTGAATTTGAGTCTGGTTTTTAGTGAGCAATATGTTTATACCTCCATGTGTTTCTCAGTAAACATAGTTCCTTTGTTGAATACTTCTAATGTAAGTTATTGCAGTACTTAGGTCTAATGAGAAACTAATTTTTATCCACTTTGTTAGTGGGACTTCAATCTACTAGTTCATTCTTCTAACTAGGATGACGCTGGCCTTACTGGACCCAAACTCAAGAAGGACTCAATCCAAGAGGTCATCTGTAAGTGGCAGACCCAAATCATAGGAAGCCATGGAAGCAGAGCTGGTACGCAATGCTCAGGTCCTCCAGTATGGGCTGTAGGCATCTTATTTATATTTGTTTGTTTGTTTGCTTAATTGAAAGATATACAGAAAGGAGGAGAGACAGGGAGAAAGATCTTCTGTCTGTTGATTCCCAGGTGGATGCGATGACCAGTGCAGAGGTGATCTGAAGCCAGGAGCTTCTTCCAGGTCTCCCATGCACGTGCAGGGTCCCAAGGCTTTGGGCCATCCTTGACTGCTTTCCCAGGCCACAAGCAGGGAGGTGGATGGGAAGCAGGGTCTCCAGGATTAGAACTCGCATCCATATAGGACCCCATTGCATGTAAGATGAGGACTTTAGCTCCTAGGCTACTGTACTGGGCCCTGAAATCGTTTGTTTTTTGTTTTTTTTTTTTTACATGTATTACATATGAATTAGTTGTAGCCACCCTGTGGGTAATTTTCTCCATTTTGTAATTTGGGAACTTTAAGTATGAAGAAAGATCACTTACCCATAGTTGGATTGTTCTGTGGATGGACTCAAGTAACCTAGCTGCAAACACATAACTGTACTTTGAAGTTTTGCAGATATTTCATTGTGACTCCATTGAACTCAGTAAGGGTCAGCAGTTAATGAAATTGGGGCTGAGACTTTATTCTGTTGTTCTAAGGACAAGAAGGTTTCCTCTTCTGAGGTTAATGCTTTGTTTTGTTTTGTTTTGTTTTTCAGTATTTGTTAATTTGAAACTTAGGTAAGGACTAACAGGGCTTCAGTCTGTCAGTTCATAGCCTGTATGGCTGCAGTGACTAGCTTGGGGCTCTGCCTGTCTGAAGCAGGAGTCAACTTCTTCCGGGGCTCTGTGTGGGTGCTCAGGGCTTTAGCACAGGAGCTGTCCTGTGATGCGTGCTCAGGTGCATTTGCAGGGTATTGGATTTGAAGTGGAACTGTTGAGCTCAGGCAGTGACTTTATCCACTGTGCAGCAATGCCAGTCCGAGTTTCTGTTTTTTTTGTTTTAAGATTTTTTTTTTATTGGAAAGGCAGATATACAGAGACAGAGATGAAGATTTTCCATCCGATGGTTCACTCCTGAAGTGGCCACAATGGTCAGAGCTGAGCCAGTCCTGAGCCAAGAGCCTGGAGCTTCTTCCAGGTCTCTCACACAGGTGCAGAGTCCGAAGGCATTGGGTCGTCCTCAGCTGCTTTCCTAGGCCACAAGCAGGGAGCTAGACGGGAAGTGGAGGTGCCGAACCGGCGCCATATGAGATCCCGGTGCATTCAGGTGAGAACCTCAACCGCTACACTATTGCGCTGGGCCCCCATGTTTCTGGTTTTAATTGAACTGTCTTTTGTAAGCTGAGGGAGAAATTGGTTCAGTCCTTCTTCACTTACAGCTTTTTCAGCAGTTAATGAACCCAGCCTTTTCATTGGATTGTTAGATGTAGCTAGAATGTTTAAAATTATTACGGTGTGTATGATATATGAAGGCTTTATCCTCTTTACATGCACATATTATTATCTTGACTATCTTAGCAAACACTTATGCCCTGTGGTTGTACCTTTTGCAGTTTGAGGGATGATGGTGAAATTGACATTGAATTTTTTTTTTCACAATTTCATAGCTACAGTATTTTTTCTTACTAAAAGTCTTAGTAACTTCAACATAGATGCTTTTTTCTTTCCTCATTAAGACCTTTCATTTCTTCACTGAAAGGAACTGCTTTACAACTTTTCTTTCATATATTTTAATTGTCATCATCACCACTCCTGTACTTTGGGGCTCTAATTTTAGGTAAAGTTACTTAACCACTAATATTGTTACACTGCAATAATCAGTCTGAACCAAAATGGGAACAGTGTGATTATTTGTCAGGTAGTATGGGCATGCTCGGCTGGGCACAGAGGATGGCATTAGATTTTAGGGAAGGATGGAATGGGGTTTTTTTTGTCCTGTATTTTGAAGCAGTGGATCCAAAGACAGGGAAAAAGCGAGGTAGCTTTCTGCTGTTAGTTGACATCTTGAGTGAGCACAACAGCCAGGGCTGTACTAGGATGGTCTTCCACATGGGTGCAGAGATGCAGATATGTGGGCCATATTCCACTGCCTTCCTGGCTATATTAGCAGAGTTGCATAGGAAGCAGAGTAGCAGGATTCCAGTTGTTACCCCATTATGGGATGCCAGGGTTGGAAGAGATGGCTTAGCTCTCTGCACCACAGCATCAGGTTCTAGCATGAAATTTCTTCGAACTACTCAGGATAGTATGCAGTTTAAAACTTGAGAAATGTTGATTTCCGTGGAGTATTTTTAGGCTTCTGTTGACCATTAAAGCGAATCTGGTGGTAATGAGGGGCTGATGTATTCATCTGTAGTTTTAAGTCCAACATATATTTTAAAGTGTAACTATTTGTTTTGTATTTTTCAATAATATGGTCTTATTTTTTGTTTTTAAAACAAACTTTCAGCTAGTATGTTCAACACACCAGGAATGCAGAGCTTATTGCAACAAATAACTGAGAACCCGCAACTTATGCAAAACATGCTGTCTGCTCCCTACATGAGAAGCATGATGCAGTCTCTAAGCCAGAATCCTGACCTTGCTGCCCAGGTGAGTTAGACTGGTATTGAAAAGGACTGTGCAGTGTGAACTGAAGTAACAGTCTAGTAACTGTGATCTTGGCTATCCATTTATCTTAATTCATACGTAATTAAAACCTTGATCCTTGTTAAAAGTCATTTACTATAAAAGCCTACCATTCATTGACAAAAAGGAGTGCAAGCTTGCTTTACATATGTGTGTATTGAATTAAAATATGTGCTCAAGATTTTGGATCACTTTCTTTTGAGGATGTACTCTTTACTCAAATGTAGGTCTTGAGAACACAGAAAACACAGTATTAATTCTTCAGGAGACTTTTGTTTATAGGTTGCTCAGATTGAAGCACTTTTCTTCAAAACATTAATTGTAAGATAGCCTGAACATCTTTTTAATTTTAACATTGAGAGTCATCTACTTGTTCACTCCCAAACACCCTAGAACAACTGAGGGTGGACCTGATTGGCTCTGAAACCAGGAACTCAGTCTGAGTTTATAACCCGAAAGGCAGGGACCTAAGTACTTGAACCATCACTGTCTTCCCACAGTGCCTTAGCAGGAACCTGGATTGGGAACTGGGCTTGCATAAGGAACCTACATTTTCTGATACAGGATAGAGGTGTCTTTAGCCATACTAAGCTCTTCTTTCCAGAGGGGGATTTGTGGGAACAATGCTGTTTTTGTCCATTGCAGACTCGCCTCTCTCCCATTCTCTGAAGTTCTTGTATGTCTTAAGAGAACATAATTAAGAAAATGTGTGAATTTCAATACTGCTTCAACATTGAGTATCACCTGGGGAGTTTACAGTGCTAGTGTTTGAAGCCTAGCCCTATTTTTAGAAATTTTTATATAATTTTATTGAATTCTTCTTTTCAGTTGCTTAGATGATTTCTGATGTACTCCCTAGGTTCAACACTGTTGGGCTTAAAAATTATGGAAAATATGAATTAAACCTTGAGTAACTAATTTACATTTGTTATCTATGAAAAATGGCCTCTCAAGTGTTAAGAATTTGCAGTGTTTTTGTAGTTAATATTATTTCTTAAATCATTTTGTTTTCTTAAATGCAATGTTTTTTATTTTCTAAACTTTAGACCCATATATTAGCTATATTTCAGATGTTTTTGAGGTATAATCTTCAATTTACCTTTGTGAAATTAGATGTGTAGTTAACATGTTTTTTAGCATCATCTACATATTTGAAATTTTGTGTATAGTTTTATGTGATTTTGTTTTATTCAATGAAAATTATCAGACTGAGTCACAACTATATTAGGTGCCTGAACTTACCTTAATCAGAGCCAGTTTGGACAACATATTGAGCCAGAATGTTTACATTTGTTTAAAATAAATGGAGAAAATATGCATATACAGTAATCCTGTTTTTCTTTATGGATGTGATCAATAAAATCATGTATGTGTTTTGAAATTTGATTTAAAACCTATTTTATTCCATAATTCTGTATAAGGCACCTATAGAAATTGAGCAAGAAGTACCTGACTTACAAGTTTGGAATCAATATGCCATTGAAATACTTATGTAATTGAAAAGTTGAAACTCAGTAAAGCACATTTCTAGCCATTTAAAATATTGGTTTGTTAATGTTTACAAAGTGCCTTGAACATTTTCACGTAGTGTTTTTGACAAAGAATGTTGGATATGGACCAGTTTAGAAACTTGTTGATTATCAGAAGGTTAAAGTTTGGTGTTTCTCTAGTTTGCTTTTAATATTTAAATTTCAAAGAAGCATAAAATCTGTGTTTTGACATAAACAGGTAAGTTAGGAGACAGCTTAATTAAATTAGATGATTGAGAAGGAATGAGTAAACTGAAAATTATATACTTTTTCCTAATTGGCTCAAATTACATAAATCTTTAGAGATAAATGTGATATTCTCATTAAAATGTTCATAATAAAGTATTTTACTGTAACCGTTTAAGAAGCAGGAATGTTGGCCTCATATATATTACTTACTATGAAGTTACTGATTATTTCTGAAATAATATTATATATTCATGTAATATTGTCTGGCTTTTCCTCCTTTCTCATTATTGTGTTGATTAAATTAGCCAGTGTGCTTGCCTGTAGGAGATTATCAGATTGGGGGGAGTTCTGTCTGCTTCCAACATTCAAATGTAATTGATTTTAGAAGTGTGACTGACTGCTTGAGGGCTGGAATCCTTGTCCTGTCCAGTCTTTGGACAGATAAATAGGTTGTCAATTAATCATTGTTAGTAGAATTTTCACTCTGCCTGGAGAAAATTAGGTAAAATCTGTCTCTTTTGAAACTAGGATAGTTTGTTTCTGGTTATGTTGATTGTGTATTATAATTTTATTTTTTAGTATTCAAAATCATATTAATATTGGCCCTGACTTTTAAATTCCTGATACCTATTTGAGATTCAGGAGATATGCCACTTTTCTCATCTCTGTTGATAGTGAGGTGAAATCCAGATGCTAATCTTGGTGTTCTCAAGTGGATTTCCATCTTTCTGGTCTTCACACATTTTAGCACTTTCCCCAGAGGACTGTTGATGGTGGTTCTGGCTGATTCTCACCTAGCAGCTCCATTCCTCTGTTCAGTGGTGGTGCTTTTCTGGGCCTAAAACTAGTTGCTTTGTAGTAGGAGGATCGATACGGTGGTTTCAGATCTGAATTTTTCTCTGTACTGGCCACTTCTGTGTTGAGGTTTCTAAAACCAAGCCATGAATGTAGTTTCATTATTGGTGTTTATTCTGTCAGTGTAGCAGAAAATAAATTCTCATAAATGCCAATTACCTCAGTTTCTTTTTAATGGCAAAAATTTATCTTTGCTCAAAGAAAAGTCTAAAAAAATTGATTACTTTGATTTTTAACATTTATTGCATGTCATTATCATAATCGCCATTATTGAGAGAAGATACCTTGTTATTTTATTTTATTTTATTTTATTTATTTCTTCCTGGAGATGTCTTGTGGACAGTATTTTCCCTTTTAAATTTATGTTCTAACTTCCTCCCTTTAAAGTGCCAACCTGAGCACTTGTTGGAAGATAGAATATTAAACAAGGCACATTGCTTGTTTCAGATATTTCCAGTTAAAATTGTTTGAACACTTGCCCCATAGATGATGCTGAATAATCCCCTATTTGCTGGAAATCCTCAGCTTCAAGAACAAATGAGACAACAGCTCCCAACTTTCCTACAACAAGTGAGTAAGAAAAGATGCTAGCTGTCTTCAGTGATAACTTGCTTGAAAGAGTTTCATGATCCTTTTTCTTGCTCTTTGGCTGATGGATTACAGAATAGTGTGTAATAATGCTGTCAGTTCGCAGAGATTTCAGCTTGATTTTTCATTGAACCCCATTTTACTGCTGACATTTTACTCTTATTTCTTAAACATAAGTTGTGAGGGAAGGACCATTTTATTTTTCCTTGAAGAACTTGGGATTTGAATGCTTTGCTAATATGATACCATTTTCTTTCATTTTATTACCATTGAAGTACTTCCTTGAGGAATGTTATGTTTTATGGTTTAACTAATTTCAAGTGTCAGGGAAAAGCTGCCCCTTCCTGCTTTTCAAGGTTTGGCTTCTTTGTGATGTTAAAAATTTTTTTTTTCAATTTAATATAATGCCTGTTTTTCAAGGGGGTAGACCTTTATCTCTCAAACTTGAATTAGTTAAAAAGAAAATCAGTTTTGTCAAATAATAAAGGTTTTATTTTTTTCATAAAGAATTTGAGATTGTCATGATATTGTGTATAAAGTAAAAGAGGAATCAGTGTTTGTGTTTGCAAACTGGTGGTTCTAGGGCTTATATAGTATGCAAATAATTCTCAGACTTCTGAACCGTTGTCCAAGGTTAGTTAGTGTCCTTGATCTTTTGAAATGATGTAAGCCTATCTTTTTTTGGTCAGTCAGGTGGTGACTATTTGGAAACAGTGAGCTAAACTCATGACACATGTATTAACTTCACATTTGGAACTATTGTTGCAGGGTGTAGGTTAGTTGTACAGTTGTTATAGGTAACTCTTGGTTAGGAGGACTATGTGTCTTTTACCATTGTTATGAATTGTGTCTTTGGAGGTTGTGTCTTTCAAATAATACTTTTACGTCTTCTGTTGGAGAATGGGAGAAACTTTGATTTCAGAGTGTCCACTGTTACGGAGTTGGCTTTGAAAATGGGCTTGGGAGGCCAGGCAATGATTTGCACATGAAGTTTGTTGTCAAAGAGAGTGTTTGTGGTTTTTTGGGAAAGAAATTACTGGATCACCTGTGTGTAGGAGTGAGGTTTTAGATTTTCTCTGGAAACACAGTAAAGATTAAACAACTTGCATTCACTGGTTTGAACTCCCTGTAAACACAGGTTTTCTGTTTCCTTTAGATGCAGAATCCTGATACTCTGTCTGCGATGTCAAATCCTAGAGCCATGCAGGCCTTGCTGCAGATTCAGCAGGGCTTACAGACACTGGCAACAGAAGCCCCTGGTCTCATTCCAGGGTAAGTTTGTTGGAGGAAGATTATGAAAGCGAGGAATGGTTAACTTTCTCTGAAAATGTCAGGTTTAATGTCATTCTGCTTTTTGTTTTTTAAAATCATGTTTTCTTTTGTGTGTGTGTGTGTGTATGTATGTGTGTTGGTTGGTTTTCTTTAGGATATATTGTTTTTTAAAAGACAGAATTAGAGGCATATTATCTGATTATCTGCGGATTCACTTCCCAAATGGACACAGAAGCCAGGGCTTGGCCAGGCCAGAGGCAGGCCATGCAAAGACTGGGCCAAAGCCACGAGCCAGGAGTTTTCTTGCAGGTCTGAAATCGTGGGTAGAGGGGACCCAAGTACCTGGGCCATCTTCTCTTCCTAGACATTAACAGAGAGCTGGATTGAAAATGGAACATCCAGGATTTAACAAGCTTTTTAAGAAGATATTCAGTTAATATTAGGTTAAAAGTATGATTGGTCACTTGGCATGTAATTTTTCAAGACTTAAGGTGTTTTACCTGTTCTTTGCTTTCTCTAGGTTTACTCCTGGCCTGGGAGCATTAGGAAACACAGGGGGCTCTTCAGGAAGCAATGGGTCTAACACTACCCCCAATGAAAACACAAGCCCCACAACAGGGACCACTGAACCTGGACACCAGCAGTTTATTCAACAAATGCTGCAGGCTCTTGCTGGAGTAAATCCTCAGGTAATAATTCTTTTCTGTTAAGGTATGATAATTCTTAACTTTATGAGTTTCCATATAGAAGGAAAAAAAGGGTGGAAATGGCAGTCTTTCAGTGTTTAGAGACTAATGAAAGGCATAAACTTAAAAGATACTGAGACTGGGGTGGGAGGAGGGGTCAGCATCATATGCAGCTGCCACCCAAGAAGCTGACATCACATCTGGGTGCCTCTTGAAGTCCCAGCTGTTGTACTTCCAGTGAACTTCTTTGTAGGAGACCCAGAGGAAATTCCAGGCCACTGAGGAGTAAGCCAATGTGTCATAGCTGTCTTTTTCTGTCTCTCCTCCTGTTCTCTGTCTCTCTTTTTTTTTTCTAAGATTTATTCATTTTTATTGTAAAGTCAGATGTACAGAGAGGAAAAGAGACAGAGGAAGATCTTCCATCCTTTGATTGACTCCCCAAGTGACCGCAACGGCCGGAGCTGAGCCAATCCGAAGCCAGGAGCCAGGAGTTTCTTCATGTCTCCCATGCAGGTGCAGAGTCCCAATGCTTTGAGCTATCATTGACAGCTTTCCCAGGCCACAAGCAGGGAGCTGGCTGGGAAGTGGGGCTGCCGGGATTAGAACTGGTGGTCGTATGGGATCCCAGTGCATTCAAGGCAAGGACTTTAGCCACTAGGCCTTGTCTCTAACTTTTTAAAGAGATTAAGAAAAAAATGCCTGAGGGCTGTCATTGTGGCATAGCAAGTTAAGCTGGCATTTGTGATGCGTCAGTTGGAGTCCTGGCTGGTTTATCTGCTGCAATCCAGCTCCCTTCTGGTGTATCGGGGAGAGCAGCAGAGGATAATTCTGCCACCACATGGGAGACCTAGATCAAAGTCCTGTAGCTTGGCCAGCCCCAGCTGTTAGAATCATCTGGGAAGTGATCCAGTAGATAGATGATTGATATTCTCAGAACATAGACTAGCCTCTCATTTCTCTCAAGCTCTGCCTTTTAAATAAAAAAATCTTAAATATTGAGGCTGAAAAATACATGTTGTAAAACTTGAGTTTGGTACTCTCATCAGACACTAATATATATATATATATTTAAATTTGTATTTTTAAATTTTATGATTTTCAGGTTGTACTTGGATTCTAAGAGCATTACTGAAACATTTAATTTTTATGGAACAATTATTATTTTGAAACAGCCCTGGCATCCACCGATTCTCCCCCCAGTTGCTCACAGTGAGCTGGCTAGGAGCACAAGCCAGCAACTCCTTGGCAGCAGGGGCACAGTGACGTATCAGTGCTGCTTGCCATGTGTGCATTAACAGGAAGCCAGGGATCGGACCCAGTTCATGCAGTGTAGGCATGGACCTCTTAACTTTTAGACTAAATGTCTGCCTAGCTTAGAGTTAATGGTCAGTGGGAATTGTAAATATAAGTATAAATTCTAAATATAAGCTGAAGTTTTTCTGCATGTTCTTGAACCTGTAAAATAATGTGTGACGTTTATTAAATTTCGTATAATCAGTTATGTGATCTATCTGATATTACTGTTTAGGTATAAAATAACAAAGTAAGTGTTGACACTGAGTTATAAGGGAAAGCCGCTTCCTACAGTGCTGGCATTCCGTATGGGCACCACCATTTCAAATCCTGGCTGCTCCACTTCAGTTCAGTTCCCTGTTAGTGTGCCTAGAAGATGGCAGAAGATGGCCCAAATGTTTGGGCCCCTGCACCCTTGTTGGATAGCTGAAGACGCTCTTGGCTGCTGGCTTTGGACTGTCTCAGCTCTGGGTTTTGAAGACATTTGGGAAGTGACTCAGCAGATGAAAAATATCTTTATCTCTCTCTCTTTCAGAATAAATACATTTTAGAAAAATTGGTAAAATAACAAAATAAGGGAGGTATTTGTCATAGTAATTAATGTGAAACTTTATATACCTGTATCATGTTCAAATCCTGGCTCCAGTCTCTACTGACACACACCCTGGGAAGGCAGCAGTTGACAAGTTGTTGGGACCCTGCCATCCATGTGAGAAATACTGAATCAGGTCCTGACTTTGGCCCACTCATAGGCATTTTAGGAGTGAATGAGTTAATGGAAGATATTTTCTCTGCCTACTTTTCAAATAAGTACATCTTTTTAAGCAACAAAATAAAATGCAAATGGACTTTTGCAAATGTTGTATAGTTTTTACTAGAGAAGCATGGCTTTTTTGTTAATTTTTAAATTTTATTTTGATGATGTTTACATAGTTAGCACGGGAAGGGTAGAGGATCTGAGGAAAGTGTATGAAACCATTGTTTATACCTTTTCTTCTTGTTGAGTTTGGGGAGGAGGTGACACAAGGGGAGAAACCACACCCAGGCTCCAGAAAAGCATAGCTTTGAAAGACCAACATACCTTAAGAAAGAGCATCAAGTTTTTAAAAAAGTCTTTGGATCTGGCAGGGACTGATTTTCCTTAGAATTTTTCTTTTTTTATCTTTAACAGCTACAGAATCCGGAAGTCAGATTTCAACAACAACTGGAACAGCTGAGTGCAATGGGATTTTTGAACCGTGAAGCAAACTTGCAAGCGTTAATAGCAACAGGAGGTGACATCAATGCAGCTATCGAAAGGTTACTGGGCTCCCAGCCATCATAGCAGCATTTCTGTATCTTGGAAAAATGTAATTTATTTTTGATAACGGCTCTTAAATCTTTAAAAATACCTGCTTTATTTCATTTTGACTCTTGGAATTCTGTGCTGTTAGAAACAAACCCAATATGATTGATTCTAAGGTGGAGTGCATTAAGATGTGTGGATTTTCTGGGTTTTTGTTTTTGGAACAGTGGGAATCAATGCTTTTTCATTTAAGGCTACTACATGCATGAAACACTTCTGCATTTATTGTAATTTTTTTAAAACATCACCTTTTATAGTTGGGTGAACTGATTTTGGTCCTGCATCTGTCCAGTTTATTTGCTTTTTAAACATTAGCCTATGGTAGTAATTTATGTAGAATAAAACTATTAAAAAGAAGCAAATTATTTGCGCTCTATAATTTGTGGTACAATATTGCTTCTTGTGACTTGGCATGTATTTTTGCAAACAAAATGCTGTAAGATTTCTACCCGATGAATTTTGCTTTATTTGTATACGAAACAGTATGCACATTTGGGACAGCATTTCTAGAAACAAAACTGCGGTAGTTTATTTGACCAAAGTATCTGTAATCCAAAAAATATAAATAAGGAAATACTCTTAAAGCTGAGAATTTCCTCATTGTATCAAATCTTACAGCATCTTTGGTAAACATCTCTCAGCAAAAGTGCCGGTAATTCGGGTTTATGGAAAATATAATAGAAACTCTGATTTTGGCTATCTATTCAAGGGTGTTTAATTGTACAGACAACATCATGTAAAATTGTCTTGGCATTTACAGAGTGATTGTAAATTATCCTAATCTTTGTGCAGACTGAAGGAGCACTGTAGTATACCCAAAAATGCATTGCCTAGGACTTCTCATCTTCTCCCATAGGTAGTTTAGCAGGCATTACAGTTTGTAATTGAAATGTTGCTTTCACTGAAAGTGTCTTGATGTTTTAGTTATTTTAATTGCCATATACAAATAGAACTATCTTTTGGTTCATCGGTTTTCTCATGCACAGGCAATACATGAATTTAAAATGATTTGTGAGCCACTTGTTTCTGAAGTGTTTGGGTAGTTCTGTTAAGACATAGTTAAATATTGTGCTTTTCGGAGCCTCAGAGAAAGGGGTGGGGGTGGGGTGGCGGACTCTATCCTGGATTGGGCCAGCCTAAGTAATACTGGCAACCAAGATTCTGTTAGGATTTCTGTGCATATAGTGTAGTAATGAAGTATCATTCAGGGGTGAAAAACAAAGAGCCGTTTTAACAATGTTGAGTACATTTTGGCTATTCTACAGCCTTGTTCTTCCTCCCCACAGAAGTTCTGTTTGCCTAACTCTGAAACTGTTGGGGTGGTACATTCCTTTAGGACCAATTAAAACATAACTTTAGGGTCAGTAATATATTTGGCTGACTCTGGTTCAGTATTCTCTTAGGTCATTATATTCTCTCATGTACAGTTACAGAAAATTAAAATGTTAAACTAAAATGAGTCAGACCAATAAAATCAAGGAAAATGTAAGTTGAATTCCATTAGTTCAGTAAATTGCTTGTTCTTCAAAAAGGTTAAGATGCCAAGTTGCCCACCAGTCCATGCATTGTTCTGATGCTTTTCCTAGGAGGAAAACCCACAAAGATGAGGGCGAGGCATGATTACAGGAGGTTGTTAGGGAAGGTATTCATATACTCTCTGCCTTATGCCTCAGTCTGGTTTAAAAACTTGTGTATGGTGAATGGTGGTACAGTGTGGGACAGTGTCATAACCAATTTGATGATTTATTAATCACCAAATAACAATAAATCTCTAGCTTTTACACTTGGTTTGTCTTGCTTCTTTTGTAGAAGGAAAAAGATACCTTCAATTTATTGTGTGTAACCACGTCTTTTGAAGGCTGTCGGAATGGATTACCTTAGTTTTATTATGCTTTAGATTGTCCTTTAGTAATTCCTTAGGCTTTGCTAAATAAAATGTTAGGTGCACTATTATATGGTGGTGTGTTAAAATTTATCCTGCTGGAAGGGAGTTTACTTTATTGGCATCTGACTAGCTATTTATTTGACTTTGACTAAGGCATCATGTTTTCTTACTGTAAAAGGGATAGTAAGGCTTAAGGATGCATTGGACTGGGGGGTGCTTTGAGCTGCTGCAATGTCTTGTTTGTTATCTGAAATAATTTCATCTTTGGTTATTTGTTAAGGGATTCTAAATACAGATGATTGCTGACTTTTGCCTTGGTTTATGATTTCCAAATTCATGGTGTCTGTATGTATTCAGTAGAAATCATACCTTAAATTTTGAGCTTTGGGCTTTTCCTGGGCTAGTTCTGTATGGTATAATCATCTCTCAGTGCAGGTCTCACTAAACAGTAGAAGCAGAAAGGCAGTAATAGATGCCCGACAGTGTGCTGTGTGGATGAGCTATTTCCAGCTTGTAATAGGCTTAGCAGGACCTAACTTCATTGTGACTTGAGCAACATCTGTGCTTGAAAGTGCTGTTAAGGCACTTCAAACACTGTAGACTTAAATTGTTCTTACGTTAAGTTAGCACAAATCAGACGGAATAGAAGGATGAAAATGCCGTTTCATTGTCTAGTTGGGATTTTCTAGTTGTAGTATTTGTGATAGCCTAAATCAAGTGTAGCAAATACTGAGCAGACTAATGACAGATGTCCTCTGTATTCACAATACTGAATTTAAGACTGCATTTAAATATAGTAATGAAATAAGGTCTTCTGATTAACAGGTGTTGTTATTCTCATTTAGTAGGCAAATCATGAAAACATACAGAAATATAGATAAAAATATGTTAGTGACATGCATGAAACGAGCCAGTGTGTACACACACATTCATACACATGCATAATGAAGGTTTTGTGGTTAAGGCAGGAGAAGACTACATACAGTGCTTCTCTCAGAGCTTAACATCTTGTTCAGTATTGTCACTATATTGTCTCGTGTATGGCTATAGAAAATTAAAATGTTAATGTAAACTATAATGAGTCAGACTAGTAAAATGAAAGGAAATAACAGTAAACTGAATTGTTAACTTCAGTAAATTGCTTGTTTCTGAAAAATGCTTAATTCCAAGCTACTTGCAGGTCTGTTCGCTGGTCTAATGCTTTCCTCGGGTGAAAAACATGTACAAAGGTCAGGGTTGAATGCAGGAAGAACAGCATTGAAGAAAACCTGTTTAAAGTTTAACCTTTCTAGTTTTCTAGACCATTCCATTTACTTAGCTGTATCCAGTGAACATGCTTTGAGAGAAGCCGTACTTAGAAAATCTCTCTTAACTCGGGTTGCACAGGGTCTTCCCTTTGGCATATGTGGAGCTCATCGTTCTGTTCTGGTTCAGTTTTGTGTCTTTATAAACGTTGCTTACCCACATTGATATACTCTGAATGATTTAGCCTTTCTCATCAACTGCTGAATTATTTTTCTCCATTCATCTTAAAATATTTTACCTCAACTTTATTTTATTGTTCTGCTCTGAAATTGCCTTAGCAGGTAAATCAGACATGACCTTTTGGTGTCTGTCTGTATGTATGTATGTTATGTATCAACAACACTTTCCTTATAAACATCACTGTTCAGGGCTGGTGCTGTGGCACAGCACGCTTAAATCACTGTCTGCAGAGTCAGCATCCCATATACGGACACCAGTTCAAGTCTCATCAATCCACTTTCTGTCCAGTGGCCTGATAATGCAGGAAAAGATGGTGTAAGTGCTTGGTCCCGTGTACCGTGTGGGAGACCTGGATCAAACTCCTGGCTGCCCAGGCCATTGCAGCCTTTTGGAGAGTGAACTACCAGATGGAAGATCTCTTTCTTCCTCCCTTCCCATCTCCTCTTTGCTGCCATACTGTTTCAGATAAGTACTAAATCTTTAAAAGTTACTGTGTGTTGAACATCAGTTGAATACCAGAATCTTACCTCATCACTCAAAGAATAGTAATAAATAAAACAGAGCTCTGGCCCCATTGCGCTAATGGTGGGATATGGGATATGGGGAGACGGGACAATGCCTGGTGCCTGTCAGAAAGTAACGTATTTAAGGGAGAAATTCAGCATGGTAAAGAGATGAAGTCAGGAAGCAGAAACATTTTTATAGGATATTTAAAGACTTTCATTGAGGTGATAATTTTTTAAAAGATATTTTTACTGGAAAGGTAGATATACAGAGAAGAGGAGAGGAAGATCTTCCATCCGTTCATTCACTCCCCAAGCATCTGCAGTAGCTGGAGCTGATCCGAAGCCAGGAGCTGCCTCTGGGTCTCCCAGGCGGGTGCAGTGTCACAAGGCCTTGGGCCGTCCTTAATTGCTTTCCCAGGGCACAAGCAGGGAGCTGGATAGGAAGCAGGGCCACCGGTATTAGAACCAGCGCCCATATGGAATCCCAGGAGATGTAAGCCGAGGACTTTAGCCGCTAGGCTTCCACACTGGGCCCAATCAAGGTGATATTTGAAGGGATTTTAAAATTGTGTGGAAAGCAGGGGCAACTTCCCAAGAAGAGGGCAGCTAATTAAAAGATGCAATCTGGCTGAGCTGTGAGAGGCTCTTGGATTGGTTGATGGCAGTAGTTATATTGGAATATACAGAGAGAAGGTAGAGCCAGAAGGGTTCACTGATGTTGGAGATAGAAGTAAAGAGCAAGAGAGGAATTAGGCGAGGCAGTAAGGTGCTTGGTTGAACGTGCACAGGTGTTGAGAAGGCAGTAAGAGGAACTACTGCTGAGACGAACAGGTAGGGAGCAAGAAATTAGGTCCTGGAAACCAATGAAGAGATTTTCAAGGAGAACAGTGTTACGGACTGTTGAATACTATTGCTTCAGGTCCTTAGCCTGGATTGAGTATTAATCTTCAGATTGAGTTGCGAGCAGGATCTTTGTGCTTGATGCCTGCAGGCAGGGTTGGGTAGAACTGTTGCTGGCATTCAGTCTGGAGACAGCAGTGCTGGTCAGTTAATGCTCTGAGCCCCTTTGCTCGGGCACTCTTTTTTTTTTTTTTTTTTTTTTTACAATCTTTACATAGTTTATTAGGTCACAAAGGGTCAAGGGCTACAGGAAAGTGGGTAAGACTATTGTTTCTACATTATTGGTTTTTTTGGTATAAGGGGCAAAGGGGGGAGAAAAAGGGAGAAGCCCCACCCAGTCTCCCACCCATTCCAGGTCCCGAAATGTGGGGCATGCTCTGAGGGTCCTGCTCAAGTGCTTTTAATAGTTCAACAGTTCTGAATTGCTGCCAGTCCCGCCATTCCAGTATGATGAAATCACTGCTGAATCCACTGGTTGACATAGTCTACCTTAGAGTTTCCATTTGCCCAGATTTTCACTGTCAACACATGGCTGGGATAGTTGATTGATTTGTTCTGTCCTCTGTTGTGCTGCAGGTTCTGGTAGACTGCCATATCCTCCATGTGCACCTGGTTATGCTGTTCACTGTTCCATCTGAGCCTCTGAGAAGGCTCAGCTTTGACACTTGCACTCCATGGTCAGACCATGGAATCTACTTCTCTTCATGGTTGTGGTTCTGAGATTAGCAGTTTATTTGGAGGGATCCCCATAGAAACTTTGTCTGAGGTGATCCCAGACTCGATTTTTGTGTGTGTTTGCCAGTTCAGGGCCTGTCATAGTCCATTGCCCCAATCAGCTGGTGGTTACAATTGCTGGGTCAGTTCTGTTTCTAGTCCTTTCACACGAACCAGTGGGTGTTGCAATCCAGCCTGATTCTGCCCAGCACACATTTGGCTCTCACACAAACAAGTGGGAGTTGTAGTCCAGTTGGAACAACCCACAATAACCACCACCATGCCCACCCCCTACCCTGGTTCCTGTGCTTGCCAGTATGTACCACAGACTTGTTCAGTCTTTCCCACATCTCATTCAGCTCTCCTACATGTCAATTGGCATTTAAGACTAGTTCAACCCAACCAGGCCCACTGTCCAGCCCATGCACATGCTGGTGGGTGCCATTCTGTCCAGCCAGGTCTGCCCCAGTCCTGGTTTTCATGCTCTCCAGTTGCTGTGATAACCCAAGAGCGAGGTGCCCACTAATTCCCTCCTGTGCCCACTCCTGGATCATGCACTCTCCTGGTGGTTCTGCAGTTTAACTTAGCAGAATTAGCCCCTAATGCCAGCCTCTGCCATCTGATGCTATGGCAAAGCCCATGCAACCTTCACCCACTCTGATTTATGCTTGCACCAGTAGGGACAGTCAGCCAAGCCTTGCTCTTCCCTGATCTGGCTCACATGAGCCCCACAGGTGTTGTAGCCCTACCCAGTTTGTCTGCCTCCATCCAACTCACACGCTCCAATGAGCTGTATAGCAATGAGTTGCTATACCTAAGGGGAGCCCTCTACCAGGAACCTTTACCCCCTCACTGGTTCCTACATGTGCTGGTTGGGTGCTGCAGCCCAGTCTGGCATGGCCCCGCTTGCCTCGGCATTTGCTAGTGGGTGCTATAGCCTGGCCCAGCCCAACCCACTGAAAATTCCAGCTGCAGCTGGTGAGGGTTACAGTCTAGTCCAGCCCAGCAGTCACCCAATCCCAGCTGTAATGTGTACTGATATGTGTTGCTACTGAACCTGTCCCGACCCCCCTGTTCTGGTGCTCAGATTTTCCAGTGGGTGATATGAGCTGGTTCAGCCTCGTTCACCCTCAACCTTTGCCAAATGTATGCTAGTGGGTACCTTTCACTGTTCTGCTCTGGGTTGCTCCCTAGCATGGTTCTTGCACTCACCTGCAGGGTCTGTGTCCTGCCAGAGAAGTTGCCCAGGCTCCTCCATCAGAACCTCTCCCTGTGCCAGATCTTGCGCCCATTGGTGGGTCCACAGTCCAGCCCTGCTCAGTTCACCTCCTGTCCTGCAGGAACAGTACCCTTTCCTGATTGGCCTTCAACCCGTTCAGGTTCTTATTGTTGGATGTTTCAGCCCAGCCAAGACTTGTCCATACCCAGATACAGCTCACAATGACTCAGTAGGGGCAGAG